CTTACTAAGCAACCAGAACAAGAGAAGAGTTGAGGGTCTAGAGGTTTAGGCTTTACACAACACCCACTATTATGCCCCCGAAATAGAATGGTGACTTGAACTAAGCTCCCGAAGAAGGGCCCAGTTGCACAACAGCTCAGGGCGGCATTGTAGGTAAATACGTCGGGTTTTAGCTCGGACGCCGGCATGTCACTGAACAGTCGCAAGGCTAGCTGCCATTGACCGCCCTTTTCGCAGGAGCTGATAGCAGTGCTGAAGCCTAGGTTCACATAGAACTGACGGGAATCAAAACCAGCGCAAAGAGACATATGAAGAATTCTTTCACATGGGCACATCGGCGACTACATATTCTTCCTACAGCAAAACAAAGCAAAACTCTAGTTCCCCAGATCGCCAAACTCTAAACTCTAAATGCCTGACTCGATCCTCTTGGCGGTCCATGGACGGTTTCGTGGTTTTGGGGTTTACGGTCTTGGCTCTTGGGTTTTGGCCTTGGCGGTTCAGGTTTAGGGTGGATCGCCGAAAGAGTAATGTTATCTCACCCCCACGCCTCCTTCCGGAGCAAACACATCCCAACTTCCAGCATAGGTTCAGGCAATAGGGGACTAAACCCTAAACCCTAAAGACCCCACTAGTTGAGACCTGCAAGGGCATCCCTGCTATTCTGAGTCTCCTTTTGAAGGACCAGGAGCTGAAGACGTCAGGCGAGAGCATCGTCTTCGATATGGAGTTGAAGAGATGTAAGGAAAGATTCCACTGCCTCGTTGGCGACAGCGGGTTTCAGGGCTTACCTCTTAGGGCTCAGAGTGACACGACTAACAAGGCTCCCTTACTTAGGGTTTAGGGTTTAGGGTTTAGGATTTAGGGTGTGGTTCAGGGATGTTCCGGGTGATGTTCAGGCTTTGGGATTGGAGGACTCAATCATTAAAGGCTCTGGTGCGACGCATGGGTTTCGAGTCCAGCGACCACCATAGTGGTTAGGAGTCTTGATGCGTGCATAAAGTAAAAACGAAGTCGCCGCAGAATGACGCCTGCGGGCGTGCTGAAGGGTTTAAAGCATAATATAGGGGCCTTGATAATTAGAATAGAATTTTGGAACCTATTCTACTATAAATATTATAATAAGGAACCACCCAAAATTCATAGTATCGGTAATTTTGTAGGCCCCTCCACTAATTCCTCCGTCAAGGGAGCTTTCAGGGGAGTTCGGAATCGGGGGCGGAGGATTCAATGCTTCATGACACAGAACGTGCCATCCTAAACTCTAAAGCCTAACCTCCAAAGCCCCTAAACTCTAACCTCCAAAACCCCTTTATAAACCCTAAACTCCAAAACCTCTAAACCCTAAACTCCAAAACCCCTAAACCCTAAGCTCCAAAACCCCCAAACCTTAATCTCCAAAACCCCTAATCTGCAAAACCCCTAAACCCTAAACTCCAAAAACCCTAGTCTCCAAAACCCCTAAACCCTAAACTCCAAAACCCCTAAACCCTAAACTCCAAAAACCCTAATCTCCAAAACCCCTTAAACCCTCAACTGCATCAGGAAAGTGGACTCCTCACCTAAAGCCCCCAAAGCCGCCAGATCCCTCACGCCCTACCTACAGTCTTCATTGTAGTCCCTTTTAACTTTTGGTTTGGTCAATGAAAAAAGAGGATCCTACAATAGGTAACCAGAAAAAGGGACTACAATAGAAACTATCCCAGAGGGTCCTTACTACGATTATGAAATTAGGTACCAAAAGACCATCCATACTGTGGTTTTGGGGCCCTAATTCCATAATCGTGGTATATATGGACCCTTAGGGTATGTATAAGCAGAGACCTTGATAAAGCGTTTTATAGGCTTGGGGTCAATATTTTACCTACTTTGAAGGGTCTAGGTTGTGGTTCCCGATGCCTCCAAGGACCTTATAGTTAGGGCCGTAGACCCCGTAAGGACCCAATGCTAAGGTCCCTGGAAGCCTAGGGGTTCATTAGACTTTACGGTTTTAGGGTTTAGGGTCCCTAAACCCTGAACCCCTAAACCCTAAACCCTAAACCCTAAACCCTAAACCACAAAATGTCTCCCATCACGCCAGACGAACCCAAGAGCCGAAACCAGACCACCTTCTCCCTGATCACGATCACCGCTGCTACTGTTGTAGGGCCGTAATGATTAGAGTCGGGTTTTGGGGTATACTACACTATAACTATACTAAGGAACCACCCCCAAATAGTATAGGCAAGTATTCAGGCACCGAGAATACTTGAAAAGTGCTGCTTCTGATCGAAGAAGGTGCTTCGCGGTGTTGCAGGCCTGGGACGGCTCTGTAAGTTCTGCCCTAAACCCTAAACCCGAACTGAACCTTTAACCCGTTTCCATTGGGGGCGATCTGACTGCGTTGCACAGGGTCCATTAAAGGTTTCTTTTACGAGCTCCTTCTCCCTAAACCCTAAACCCTAAACCCTAAACCCCAAACCCTAAACCCTAAACCCTAAACCCAAGGGTTCCTTTAGTTTAAGTTTAAGGGGTTCCTCTCGGGATGCACTGTTGGATATGGTGAGGTCTCTAGATTAGGGGCCCCTCTTGGGTCTCCAAAATAGTACGGCACCCCTAGAAAAAGGACCCAAACGTGGGATCCTAATTTAGAGAACTTCTCACATGGGGTTTAGGACTGAGTTAAACCCTAAACCCTAAACCCTAAACCCTAAACCCGTTTTCCAAAGTTTCCGCAAGGTCTTACCGGCCCCCAAGTCAATCCAAGGCCTTCATCAAAGTAATATAGGGCCCTTATATATAATAGTTAGGGTTTAGGGTTTAGGGTGTAGGGTTTAGAATAGGGTTTTGGGGCACATTCTATT